GGTTGGTGTCGGTTCAATATATATTAGGTTTCTAATATTTTTTTTTGGTAAAAAAGAAGTTGAAATTTTTTCTTCAAATTTTCTGCTGGAAATTCGTCTGATATATAGGGTTGGTGTCGGTTCAATATATATTAGGTTTCTAACATTTTTTTTTTGGCAAAAAAGAAGTTGAAAATTTTTCGTCAAATTTTCTACTGGAAATTCGTCTGATATAAGTAAATTATAAACTGAAACTTTTTCTGCAGAAATTTCTGCCAAAAATATTCTTCGATGCACTATTTGTAGAAAATTCAATCTGTAACTTCTCATGAAAATTTTCACCGAAAATTCCATCAGTTATAGCTATCTTTTCTATAGTACATCTAGTTTAATGTTATATATAATACTAATGTGATACCCTAAGTGTTTTTATATTTTTATATCATAATTTATCATTTTTTATAATCCTAAAAATGAAATATGATGTGAATCAAATCAGATTTTAAAAAGACATTTACATGCTATAGATATTAAACTTGAAATCTCTTGTTAATATTAAAACAAGTTTTATGTAAAGAGATGATATTCATGATATTCACATAAAGAAAAGTTTTTATCAATGATCTATAACTTCTAATAAGAGCCTAATATATAAATAATTAGTTTTTTAAACATAATAAAGGTATAAAATATTAATGGTTTTTAATATAAGATGAGGTATCCTACTATTCGGAAAATAAACCCCTAAAAAGTTACCATCACAAGCTTGGTAGAATGAAAACCTAACATTTTCTTCTCCTTCTACTCTCATTCCTGTCACTCACCCACATTTTTATTAGTATTTTTTGTAAAGGAATAAGCATCCAAAGTCAAGTTTCCTTATCTATATAGTTGCAAGTGCATTATATTCTTCTTATGGCTCCCTCTCCATACTCTTTGCCATACACTCTATTATTTTATCATATAACAAATAACATAATGAATCATATTATTGGTATTAATTTATATAAATAATATAGCTTATTATAAACTCTCATTATCCTTTAATTATTATTAAGCTAATATACTTATACTTAAATTGAAATCTAATTTGCAAATTTTAATGTACTAATCATATCTTAGTATTTATATCATAGCTTCCTCATTTTGATCCACATTTTATGTTCTTATAACTTATGTAAAGAAAATAAAACTTTTCACAACTTTTATTTTGATGATTTTACTTAATTGTATTTTTAAGATAAGTAAAACTTGAAAATTTTAGAGCAAAATTTACAGTTCCACCTTTGAATTTTCTTATGAAATAACGTCAGCAGACAATGATTCTTAAAATTATCAATAAATAACTCAGGATTTTATTATTATTATTATTATTATATAAGAGCTATTACTGTTGTTCTCTGCAAATTCACATGATTCTAATAACATACTATTTAATTTAACCTTTGATATGGTGAAAACTGATTCAAAGAAAATGTCTTTGGTTTTTGAAACAAAGTTGAATTGAAGAGTATCCCATTTACTTTATGTCTGACTTGAAGAAACGACTTGGCAAAGTAATTATATATGTCTTTCAAGATGAATAACAGAGATAATGCCTACATCGATCATCTCTTAAACAACTTGAATAAGCTTTTTTTATTGCTAAAATGGTCGCAATGTTCAGATTCTATTATGGTATGTTGCCAATACTCACACAAATCTTAAGTATGATTATAAAGTAGATGAAACACAATGTAAGCTCTCGGGTGAAATCGCATTTCACCTTTTTTTCATGTAAGTGATCTAAAAATTAGTTTTTAAACAAGATAAAAAAAATAGTTTTTAACCAAGATAAAACATAAATGTAACACAAAAAATATGGTTGAAATTTTTTACTTTTAGATTGCTTAAACTTGAAGTAAGTCAGTTGTTGACCTTGCCGACATGGTTAGGGGAATGACTATAAAATAAAAGGCAACAAGGAAGCTAAACTCCATAAATTAGTTCGTAAAATTAGTGTGACATATCGAGGAGTACATTAAATAATAATAATGAAAATGAGCAATTTATAGTAAGGCAATAAATTATATTCAAGACCGAGATTGAGAAACATCATGAAAGATATGCAGTTGATAATGAGAACAAAGAATGCACATATAGAGTGTGGAAACTGATTGGTTTACCTTGCATTCATGCTATCTTATTATTTGGTATAAAAGAGCACACATTATGGAACACCTATGTTGATGATCACTAATATGTAATTAGCTTTGTTAATGTACTATTTAAATGCAAGTTAATTTATGCAATATATATTGTCACTTTTTAAAGTGTTAATATTATCATAGTTAATCCATGGTGTATGAATGTGCTGCTACAAGTCTCTATAGTAACAATCAATAACAAAGAGTAGATGATGGAGTACAATTGGTGTACTTGATACATCTAGCCCAATAAAAGGGCTGAGAAAAAGGTGGTTTAAAAGTCTCAGAAGGTGTCCAAGAAAGTACATAAATTTAGTTGCCATGGACTTTGGGGTCATGAGAGAAGCACATTCAAAATACTTTAAGACAATAAAGTTCCACTTCTTCAAGAAATACTATAGTGCAATGGTGTAAGAAGAAAGTGCCAATTAAGAGAGTGTGATTGATGGTAACTAATAACATGAAGTACTAGATTAAGAAGTTGAAAGTTGATGGCATTTGAAATTTGATCTAAAGATGCATATTGGCTATCATTATGTAGTCTTTTGCTTTCTTTAATATAATTACCAGAAAAAAAAAATTATGATTGCTTTGGATAATTCACTATTGTCACTAATAGAGTTGATCAACATTTAACTCCATGTTTTTTTTTTTTTTTGAAAAGAAAGAATTGCTAAAAACCTAATATGTACATTCATAGCATGAAATTAAATATGGTAATACAATGTTTTACAAATACACACTTAGACTTCTTCAATATTCTCTTTTTACTAACAGGACCCTAATTAAGCTCCAATTCTCTACACTCACCCTCAAGTTGGGCAAAAGATATCCATTAAGCCCATCTTGTCACATAACTTAGACAAATCTAATGAACTGTCCTTTAATGAGGCAGTCAGCCACTTGCTTTTCTGTGGCTGCATGACTTAGCTCTAGTAGCTCGTTATTGAATTTTTCCTTGATGAAGAATCTATCATTATCCACATAATTGGTTATATCGTGTTGTAGTAGGTCATTGAGAATGTCGATTGCTGCCTTATTGTCGCACCACAAGTTCATTTGAGTTCCTTTGTCCACATTGAGCTTTACGACTATCGTTCATCAACATGGGAAAAGTGGGATTTTAATTATATATATATATATATATATAGTTTTAAAAAGAAATGTTTTAATTTTTGAGAATACATGACCGAACCGATCTCATATATGCAATAGTTTAATTAAACGAGTACAACACTGCAAGTGACGTACATATCTCGAGAAATATATAGATTACTTGATAGTAAAACTCGATTAAGTAAATTAAAGAATTTATAAAATCTGTTTTAGCTTGTGAAACCTTTATGTTGACAGACAAATTCTCCTATCTAATATAAAAAAATTAGGTAGGTTTTATATTAAGCTGGGTTCTAAAGTTTCTTATAAGGGCAAGCCCTTATAATTAATTACACATTAAATGACCGAGGTCACTTATAAAAACTTTTGATTTAGATAAAAAAATATTCTCTTCAAGAATATTAAATTTTACGATTTTCAAGGTCGGACAAAAGAGTATCAAATTGGAACGATCAAATGGGAACAATTATTTACTTAATCCAAATGGAGGAAACTAGGGAATGTCAAGTATCCCGAGGAGAACCTCAATGACTTCGCAAGCTATCAT